GTGGATGTAGTTTGTCCGACAGACTTGCGTCCGGCATACTTGCGGCGAATCCCGACATCACGATCAAAGTCCGATCGTACGTGTCGAAAACTTCGTACTTGAATAGTTTCTTTTCGGAACGTAAAAAACTCATAATTCGTCATATCCCAACAATCTTGACTTGAAAGCCTGCCTTGTTGTAGCGGCGGAATATCTTATCCAATGCTTCAAATATGGTGTCAGTCTTCAGGTTCTGCATGGGAATACATGAGCGATAACGCACAGTAGTATCAATGCAGGTGAGAAACTTAGCATCTCCAATCTCCATGTGATCAATACAGATGGTAATAAATTGATACAATTCCTCTGGTGGACTGAAGAAGTCGTTGTACGTTTTCTTCGGAGTTGGTCTTGTTGACTTGCCTTTCAATGTAGAGGCGTCAGGTCCAAAGATTGCTTCAGCATGATTGATGGGACAGTTCTTGATGAGACCAGATCAGATTGCATACTTCAGACTTTTGGTGCTTGGAGCATTGAGTATGTGCATTGCACTTCTTGCTTCCATTGCAGCCTTGACTTGTCTTGGAGTGAATCCTTCCTTGTTCTCTATTGAACAGTTGCCATCTTGGAGGTCATCTCAAGTCCAGCATATCCATTCTGTTTGTTTGAAGAAAGTTTGAAATGGGGTTGATTATTTAAGTTGCTTAACTGGCGACAGTACATCGCACTTGTCTCTTTGGCACCTGGTTCGACATTTGCTCCAAGTTGCTCCAACACATACACACCCTTACCATTCACAAATCGCATCTTTCTGTTTCCATCACAATGCAGAATAAAAGCATTGTCAGCATCAGTATCCATAGTAATGCGGTATCCCGCAGCAATCATCTCGCGCATAGCAAGTACATTGGCGATTCCATCTTCATCGTGATAGACTGGAGGTGGAAATCTTCCTAGAAAACCTTCTTTGTCGAGAACTCTGCTACCCACGTTAGTGTGCATGTCAAGTTCTTTCTCAGCATGACGGAGTCCATGCATAAGCTCACCATGACAAATGGTGGTGTTTGTACAACCACTGTCCATGATGACATGAGCGTACAACCCAAACGGATCTCTTTCCTTTCTGCGGCTTTGAATAAACTGCAGACCTCGATCTGCTTCAGTAGCAAAATCAGGCAAATCTTCATCTTCACTAGCATAGTGCCAGTCGGCTTGAAGTTCGACATTTGTCGTACCAGCAGGACATGGAATAAGATAGATGTCATTGCCATTCTCATCCTTTCCCTTGATAGCATCGTGGAAGACATTTGACATATCGCAATAGCCTACAGAGTTTGAGCTTGAGTTGCATCGAATCCTTGGCGCACTTGAGTACCACTGAAGCCTTGTCGGCTGAGTTGCATTCCACTGAACGCAATCTCACCAATAGACATAGAATAAGGGACAGTCACAGTGCCGCCACCTTGAGTTGGAATCTGCATGAGCTGCATTCCAGAAGGAACTTGCATCATTTGATTACCTGTAGTACCAGCAAGTCGCAAAGGTGTGATAACGCTTCCCGCAACAATTGATGCTCCACTTGTGGATGCTACAGTTCCAGGAACTATAGCTGGAACTGTAGCTGGGACAGTTGCTCCAATCTGAATAAGATTGAGCTTCTTCCCATAGTTGACATGTTGATCCTGATTCTTCCATTGGATCTTTGGTAACAGTCTGTCTGGGCATTTTGGAGACACATGGTCTTCGTTGCCACATACCACCTAACATGCTGCCTTCTTCTTTCCATCCTTTGGTTTCCCTTTGACTTTACCTTTATTAGGTTGGTCTTTTCCTTGGTACAGGTTCACTCCCGGATTTTTAATCACATCCATGTGAATCTTCAACATATCTTGTGCTTTGCTGACCGTCTTTGGATAATAATCCACTTCCCTGTAATAGTTCGTCTGAAGATCCAGCATCAGAGGAGCTGTTCTCGTGTGATCGCAATTGCACAGAAATTCTGTTGCAAGAACGGCTTCAAAGATATCATCTTTGAACTTGTCTTGAGAAGCAGTATTGGTGCTTGCAAAATCTCAGAACCAGGCAACGCCATATAGATCTTGTAGGACTTAGCCTGTCTCAAGAATCGTTCCTTGAAATGCATCAAATTTGCGGTTGTTCCTTGCTTCATTGCAGAGAACTTTTGATTGGCTTCCCAGAAATGCAAGAAGTGATACACAGCATCTGCACTCTTCTTCATGAATTGTTCAATACGTTTAACGGTATGTCCGCCACTTGTCACTCACTCCTTTGTAGATAAGGCAGTGCTGTTCTTGATGTATTTTTGTTTTGTTGCCTTTTGTGATTGAATGTTAGAATAAAGCAAAATGTGCTCTATCGTGAGTGCCTTTAGCGCTCAGAACAAACTCTCTGCAATCTAAATTCATAATTGACTATACAACACTTTCACGGCAATAGTTCTCCTGTGTTAGGTATACTTTGAGTGAAATTGTTCCTATTTGATTAATGTTTGGCTTGAATTGATGATTCAATCACAAAAGTGAGTTCGACAATTTTCCCTTGGAAAATCCCGTTTACAGAACTCGATTTGACTTCTACAAGGATTTTGTGTTGAATACAGTACTTTAGGACATCTTGTATTATTCCCTACTGCATTGTACACAACATCAATATCCTACTTGTATAGGGTCATTCCCCTTTTGTGTGGATATAGATTGTCCGACAGACTTGCGTCCGGCATACTTGCGTCAAATCCAGACATCACGATCCAAGTTCGATTGTACATGTCAAAAACTTTGTACTTGAATAGTTTCTTTCTGGACCGTAAAAACTCATATTTCGTCATATCCCAAAAAGGTCCCAATCCAAATTACAAATATCAGAATTTAAACGAAAGATTCAAGAAATTGAAGAAGACATACAAAAAGACAAGGAATATGTCGAATCTTAACGATGAAGAACAAATTGAGGAAACCCGTGAAAGATATGAGGAAAATGACAATTTAATTGACCGAATTCAAGATGAAATCAAAGAATGTGAAAATCAAGTCAATGATGTTCGCGAATTTGTGGCAAATTCGGATGATAATGAGAATGAAAATGATGAATCTGACGATACTTCGGACAAATCAAGTGACGACGATAATTATGAAAATGATGAAGTGAATAAAGAGGACATATTCAGTCCAAGGAAAACCAGGAGTGGTAAATCTTATGTTCAAGACAGAATAAAAATGAGACCAACCAAACGTAATAATTGGCATCCACCAAGGTATAATCAACAATACCTGAATCGAAAGAAACTGAAGTGTAATTCGCTAAAGAACAGGAGTGCAATGAGGAAAAAGGAAAAAGTCAAGAAATCGAAAGGTTATTTGAATTAAATAATTTCAATGAAGGAAAATTCAAGGAAAAGGATTCCAAAAAAAGAGTCGAAATACAATCTACAATTCCAACAGGTTGGAAGTGACAAGAAAGCCAAATATGGAAGAGATAAGGCAACTCTGATTGCACGATTCATGCAACAAATCAAGGATAAAGTCCAAAATGAAGGCATATCGTTTATCCAACAATACTACCTAAATAAGGGACTGAAATTATTCAAAGAAGAAGGTAAAAAAGCTGTGATGAAAGAGCTTGACCAATTGATACAAAGAGAATGTTGGGAACCAATTCATGTTGAAGACATGACTGATTTGAAAAAAAGAAGAGCCCAAGATGCTATGATGTGATTAGCTGAGAAAAAACACTGGTGAAATAAAAGGAAGATGTGTATACAAAGGAGATGGAACTCGAGAATGGTTACTTCAAGTCCAACTGCAGCATTGGAAGCAATTATGATCACATGTGTGATTGATGCGTATGAAGGACAAGATATGATGTCTTTGGACATTCCAAATGCATTTATTCAAACTCAAATGCCAATGGATGCAAAATCAAGAGTGATGTTGAAGATCACTGGATTATTGGTCGACATGATGATACAACTGGAACCAAGGTATCATGATTACTTTGTAATTGAGAACGGAAAATGAGTGATTTACATGAGAGTATTGCGAGCCATCTATGGGATGTTAGAGGCCTCTATGCTCTGGTACAAAAGTTGAGAGGAGACATGGAGAAACATGGTTTTATTTTCAATCCATACGATGGATGTATTGCCAACAAAATTGTGAATGGCAAACAACAAACTATTCAATTTCATCTGGATGATCTGTTATCAAGCCACATCAATCCAAAAGTGAATGGTGATTTTTGTGAATGGATGAATAAAAAATATGGTTTGATCAAACCAGTCAAATCTAAGCAAGGAAAAATTCACTAATATTTGGGAATGACCCTGGATTTCAGTAAAAGGGGGAAAGTCAAAGTCCGAATGGATGACTATGTCAATCGAATGTTGAATGAATTTCCTGTGAAGTTCAAGGAAACTGAAAGGTGTAAAACACCAGCAAGTAATGATTTATTATCAATTGGAAAAGGAGAAAAATTGGATGATGAAAAACGTGAAACTTTTCAGACATTCATTGCCAAAGGATTATTTCTGAGTAGAAGAGCGAGGTTGGATATTGCTCCAACTATTTCAGTACTTTCTACAAGAGTACAGAAACCAAATCAAACTGACTGGAAGAAGCTTGTGAAGCTGATGTATTATCTGAATGGAACAAAGGGAATGCACCTGACGCTGAGTGCAAAAGATTTAGGAACTTTCAAATGGTATATTGATGCATCATTTGCAGTTCATCCAGATTTCGGAAGTCACACTGGAGGTGTATTGACTATGGGTGAAGGGGGATTACAAATAATCTCGAAGAAGCAGAAGTTGAACATTTGAAGTTTGACAGAAACCAAATTGATTGGTGTCGATGATGCTGTGACACAGATATTGTGGACAAAATTGTTTGTGGAAGCACAAGGTTATCCTGTTGCAGAAATCATCCTATATCAGGATAACAAGAGTTCCATTCTATTGGAAAAGAATGGACATGATAGTGCCAGAAAGCAAAGCCAAGCTTTGAACATTTGATATTTCTCTATGACTGATCAAGTCAAGAAAGGAAATGTGACTATTGAATATTGTCAAACTGAAAAGATGTGGGGAGATTTAATGAACAAACCTCTACAGGGACAAAAATTCTTAGAATTCAGATTGTTGGTCCAAGAAGAACATGATTGGGAGCAACACAATTTCCTTTGATGTTCCGTTGTCATCAGCTCATAGGTCTTGTCGGGGGAATCTCCAACTGAGTCCTCTGAGTCCAATCTGGCAAAAGCTGAACCGATTACTCCAAAACCCCAACATCAGGCCAGCCAATGTCACAGTGAGAACGGCAGGATCTCCGACGTTCTTTGAAAGTTGATAAAAAAGGATCATATTTCTATGGAGATCATCCTGTTGATGATGTAAGAAAACAAGATTCAAGCAAGAACCAAAGTTGGATACTAATCAAAGTACTGACTACAGTGGGAGGTGAACTGATAACCACATTGAACTTGCAGCATATCAGGATGATTTGTTTTCTGACTTGCCATGCGCGATATTTTTAGTTTCATCAGTCTTCATTTTTAGTCGTATCAGTCAACATCTTTCTCTATTGTTCACATGTATTCTCTTTTTCTTGCTTCTCCAAATATGTACTTCAAAAATCCTAATACATCCAACACCCTCCTGCCGTTTCATTAACATAATTGATGAGAATGGAACGCCAAAGAAAATTATGTTGCTCCTAATCGTGTTCTTCTTGGATCAATGATCTGAATTAGGGTTGGGGAAGTATATAGATCTATCAGAGATCCTATTTTATCAACCAATTCACTTGTTGCTTGCAATATATTATAAAAAGTGCTGTTTAACTTCTGTTTCTTTGAGATTATTTGTAATTCTCCTGCACCCATAGTCAATCAAATAAAGGTCACCGTGCTATTAGATACGCATGCATAGTTTGTATGCATCACAAATTTCTAGATTTCCTTTTATAAACATCTATCAACTTCCCTTTACTCTTATCATCTTCCTAGTAAGTCTATTGCTTCACGATGTATTTTACATTGTTTATTAAGACTTAATAGCTATGAAAATAAAAGCCATTCAACGAAATGCATTCAAATGAACAAATTATGAATACGTATACTGCAATATTTTTTAATGTGTGCAAAGCAGATTTTGTATTTTCTTTTCCATATCCTCAAGATCGTGTCAATGGTGCTACATCACCGGTTTTGACCATGTAAAACTGTCAAAGGTGTAACAAATGCAACACCATTACAAACAAACTAACTAAGGAATCACTTCTTAGGCAAAATGGAAGCCACAATTCCTGTTTTTACAATCTATGATGCCATGATTTATGTCAAATCCCTGACATAATAATAATAATCCCTGACGTTGGGAATTTCCAAGGGCAAACTGACACCCAACGTATGGCAGAGGAGCTTTTTGACAACAATTTCAGCACTGGAATGACCAAATTAATCAAACAGATCAACATGGACATGGCAACACTTGCCTCCTTGACTGCTGTTCAAGGACGGATTGTGTCAAGACCAAGAGCTCAAGACAGAATCAGAGCATTTGTCCAATGGGTACAGGACAAAATTTGCACATGACCCTTTCCCAGCTGGAGATACATCTACATCGGAAAAGAAAGTCTGGTCCTATTGGTCGGCTTGCTCATGTTACATTAGGACATGGCTCGGTCTGCTTATGTCATGTGGCCATGTGATTTTTTCGCAGCCATTTGACTGGAACCTTTTCATATTTATTTTTGACTCTGTCCTAATGTCACCTTTGCGGTGTGAAAAAATCACCTACTACTTGTCATTTTGGGACAGGGTCTAGCCACGGTCAACCATGCACTGAATGTCTCAATACCACCTTCACCCTGTCATTTTTGCATTGCCAGCATCATCTATTGTCACATGCCCAAAGTGTTAATGTGATCACTACAACAATTGAAATATCACAATAACTATATATTAATATCAATTAAACAATACTTGTTCTATCTACTTTTCTGGAATCCTCATATACTGTTACAATTTGTTGCCTTGCCTTCTTGTGCTTTTGTTCAGAGCATTTGTGGTTCAGCTGGCGGTGTCACTGCTGGGCCATTCTTTGGCCAGTGCCTTCTATCTGTACACATAGTTCTCCACCATCAGAAGTGAAAATGCTTCATCCGTGACATTGAAAGCATTGCTCAACCCAAATTGACAGCTTGCATCACCATAGTATTTAGTGACAAAAGAAGCAGGTGAGATTAAGGCTTTTGTCACACAACAGCAGCACAAAACATGAATACTCACCTCCTTTGTGTTCAAGGTCCTCATCACTGCTCACACTTGAATCATTGTCGTACCTTTTCCTGTCTCCGAGACTCCCCTTCATTTGTTGGCTAATAAACAAAGCATGCTGTTGTCTCTCCAATGTTCAACAATGACTTTCTGATTCCAATAGTAAAAAAACACACAGGTAGTTTGAATGGGGGCTTTGCTAGTTTTGTATGGTTTGAAGCTGCCTTCTTATTGGTTTCATTGTCCTTCCCCTTGCTTAGTGCCTTCTTGCTCCTTGTCTTGTTTTCAAACACTCAAAGTTTTTTTATTATGTGTGCGGTGGGAAATCTTTGCCTTGACAAGGCTGGATTCAGTGGAAATGAACTTGGCACTAGTAGTAACTACATGCAGCATTGGGTTGGAAGGCGTGATTCTACGTATTTTCTGTAGAAATGTACCATAGGGTGGGCTTGAATCCATCCTGGCGTGAATTTTGCCCTGCTATTACAAACAGCCTTACTTAACATATGGCTTACTTAACAAAATGACTCAAAACTGTTGTGGACTTGTCCAATGTACGTTATTTCTACTGAGTGGGATCCTGGTAGATCTGCAGGGAGCTACACTAACAAACTTGTAACTCTTAATGGGATCCTGATTGAGAGACATGTCTTAACCAACGAATCCCAATTTTTGCAGCTTATATGCACAATGTCTGCCATATGTAATGTCACGACTACCATTACCAGCAAAGATAGGAAAATGCAATTTCTCCTGTTTCTATTGATCATCAAATGGCATCATAGTACTGTAAGAATTTGCTCTTTGATGAGCTTGCTTCATTGTGCCAATTGTACTGTATTCGGTTGCATTGCTGTCAAATTCTTCACCAATGATGTTGTCTGCTTGTAGTTTCTTTTCTCAATGTTGTTTTTGGTGCTGTCCTGGGCTCATCAGAGAAACGTTTTGATCACTTCTGACTGTGTAGAATTCTACCTGCAGGATTGTGGTACATTTGGACAGAGCGTCTAGACTTCAGGTGCAAATATATGGCAGATCCTAAAATCCCAATCCGGAGAAACTTTTTGATGGGATTCTACAATATTTTAATCGGTAGAAACCACCTGATTTCACACACACGGACCACCCATTGTAGGCTGAAGATAACCCTTAGGACCACCTACTAATCCAATTTCAAGGTCCAGAATGATTTTTCATAAACTCTTCTCGACTTTCATATGGTTAAAAGTCGATATTTTTACTATTCTTGCTAAGTGCAAGTCATTTTACGAAAGGGTGTTTCTTTTGTCTGCTCTTTGTTTGAGGTTCCGTCTCCACGGTACATTTTTCTACAGGGCAAAGTTACACACAAAATGACCAAAACTATCAATTGTTTTCACACTAGCACAACAACGCGGCACATAGCATCAAAACTACCATCTTCAGATTCAGAGTCGCTAACTACATCATCATCGCTGGAACCACGGTCGACATCGTCTTCAGAGTCACTGAATCCACCATCAACGCTGGAACCACGGACAACTTCGAATTCAGAGTCGCTCGAGTTGACATCGGATTCAGAGTCACTGAATCCGCTATTGTCGCCGAATCCATCAAAGTACCGCTCTGCTGGGTGAGGAAGACGCCGTACTTTTTGCCAAAGTTCCATCCTAGAAGCCCTGTCATTTGGCATCTTCTGGTAGTACTTTTCCTTGCATCTTCCAATGATCTTGAATACGATCGCAACTCGAAGGTCTTCGTTTGTCCATTTATTCATGGGCTCTGATGAATTCTCTAAGAGATTCAATCCGCATTGATATGCTTTTGTATCAGATTGGTGCTTTCTGAAAGTTGAATCTTGGTCCTTCTTTCTCTTTGCCCTTTCGGTCCTATTGACCATCCAATGAATGAACTCAGTTGGACCGCAGTCTCCGTTCTTATAAATCTCGCCAGAGGATATCTTCTTCCTGGTATGATACTTCAAAATCTTTTCATCTTCGGTTTGGAGCTCTTGCTCCTTTCGTCGTTTTCAAAGTTCTTCATATTGGTCTACCGAACGCACGGGTCCATCTCATTGAGCGATTTGTCTTCTCGGCTGCAGTAATTATAGAAGCGCTTTCTCCTCTGTGAATTCGAATTGTGGTATTGACCGTGGACATGACCCATTTTCTCAGATTGCTTCGCCATCACTTTCTTAAAGAGTTCCGCGAATCTGCAATCTCCTTTGCACTTGCAACGTCCCGTTTTCTTAGTTTTCAGAAGTCGTGCTTTCTCCTTCTTCACCTTGGCTAGTGTCGACTTTGCTTTTGAAGACGGCTTTTTGGCGTCGATCCCCAGCAAGGAATCAGTGAGGATCTTCTTGGCCTTTCGGATTTCGTTCCTCGAAAGCGTTGGGCTCATTCTTTACTTTCATGTCAATTTCCATGCTCGTAGCTTCCAACCCATGGCCTTTCTCTGTTTTGACGATTGGTTCTGGCCCCTTTGCTCCAGGCTCATGCTTAATTTTCACGCTCTTCTGTTCTTCCGTTGCACTATTTTCGTGGTTTTCTTTCTCCATCGCAGACATCTTCTACCTCCAAATGAAATTGCCTTATTTCTGTAGCAGCATTTCATATTGCAGCAACATTATCCTTTACAGACAGTCTGTCCAAAGAAACAGTTCCTGAATACTCAACGTCAATAAGAAGGGAAGCAAAGCCAATTTGATTTGGATCTCATTGCGGATCTGTCAGATTTTGCCGCCAAGTGTAGTTTGTCGTATGTGGAAGTGGTACGAGAAAAAAACCAGCTGGCTCGTCTTGGCGATGATACGTGTGTAAATACCATTTTTAGCAAAGATGCCTTGTGTTCCGTTGGAAGATTGATTATAAGTTGAGGAGGATATGCCCTTCAACAGAACTGAATACATGTTATTATAGGTAACTCCCATTGGAAGGTTCCAGTGGCATGCAACGGTCAAATTCCGTGATTTGAACGAGTTCTGCTGGAAATTACACACAAATAGGTCTTAATTCGGTGGACAGGTCTCCAACAATTAGAAAAATCTTGTAGTCCAAATGTATGGCAGATCTCGAATCTCAATCCACACAGCCAAAATAAAAACAGAAAAAACAGAAACATGATAATCAACTACAGTTTCTGCAACAATGGACTGACGCAACAACCAACTATTCCCATCGCACCAACTGGCAATATGGAAGCCAAACAACAATAAATGGTGCACAACACAAAATTTCTACTTATGACAATGGTAACAAAAACTGTGTGTTGGTCTAATGATGACTTTGTTGGTAAGAAATTCATAGACATCGTCTAGGGCGCACATACATCATCAACTTTGTATGTGAAGACGTCCCTAGATGCAGGAAGATGGTGCCTAATGGCGTTATCCGGTGCCAAATTCAAACTCAAGCCCTATCATCAGAATCTGTTGCTCTTGGGAAACTGGCCTTGGTGGATTCAGAAAGCCACAAAAAAAAACCGACAATACACCAATCTCTTCTCTGCATATATTTTGAGCAAGTGCCTCGTTAGCGGAAGAAGAATTTGACCATTGGCATATAAATTTTGACCAATATGATGAGTTGGTTTGGTAATATTATGAGTTTGCTCCGTTTTGGCGGGTCCTTCTGGCACCATGGAGACAGAAACCCAAACAACAACCTGCCAGTCCCTTTTACTGCCTCTAATGGACAAAGGATTACTGGACCTATTGATGGATTTGGCCTATCCTAGATCAAGGCGCCTAAGCAAATGGGAAATCACATGTAAGTTTGTTGCCCCAAAGCATGATCTGGAGTGATCTGGCCGAATTGTTGACCAAATTGCTTTGAATTGCTTTATTTAAACTAATATTTCTTGCTCATTGATGTACCTGGCAAGGTTGAGACATTGGTATAGGGTAGCTTGAAGTAGAAATGTTTCCGTTGCACTCCCATAAGTTTGATGATCAATTTGGCAAACATTCCTGATGTAGCCAAAAATCTCTTCAAGTCCACCTCCAGTGATTTTGGTTCTTGGAGCATTTCCACCTAGAATTCTCCCGTTCCAGCCAAACCAGCATTCTTAGACACCAACATTGGTGACAAATATAATATAGACTAAGAAAATGAATGAAGTTAGATTAATAGGTGGGCTATTTCAGAATTTGCATCTAACTTGAATCTTTTCAGAGCTGCCACCTAATTTTTGGATCTAGAACTAGATCTAAGTAGAATCTACAGGCAACTCATGTAGAGCTTTATCCATCAGGATCCATCAGGATCCAAAGAAGTGGTTTGTGTATTGTTAAGTGGGTGTTTGCTATCATAGCGGCCACTGAAGCTGCCCAAAGAAAGCTAGGAAATCGATTCCAGTCCTTCGGATTTTCTTGCCCTAAAACTGTTTTATATGGTTATTAGATAACTGGAGATGATGGTCCCACTGGTGCAGCCAAAGCATTTGAGTGTCAGACAAACATTTGTAGGGGCTGAGGCTGCCCATAAAGACATTACAGGATGCTGAAAATCAACAATATCATTGAATTTAGTGGCAGTAGGTTGCAACAGAAAGCATACACCAATGGCTTATCATCAGGAGGTGATGAAATATGGCATGATTATTTTAAATTCTAGGGGAGGCAACCCAAACCCCAAAAAGACACGCCGTGCTGATATCAGCTGATTTTGTTTTCCGATGTACTCTGCTGCAGTGATTGAACTTCCATCAAAAGTATGTCAAAGATTCTAAAACCTTATAGACAATATGGTCCCACCAAAATGGAGAATAATAATAACTGAAACATTAATCGATTAAATGCTATCTAGCGCATATGATTGCCGGTGGAATAAGTGGCTGTAAAGGTCAAGTACCGTGAAGCGACGAGTCAACAACTAGTTTGAACCATTGGAGACATCTGGTGGACAGAAGTTGCTCAAGTCAGGATTGAGAGGATCCTGACTCTACCCGCGACGAGGCGGGGTGAATTCAGGGCGTTGATTCCTTGAGACGGGTGAAGGGGCCTGGGCCGGGTGGAAGAAGCAGTGAAGGATACGGCGTTGAGGCGCCAGAGCTTGGCAGTAGGCCGTGCGTTCCATTCTAACCAACTTCAGCCACTTTTCCCTATTGACCAACGGCTTCTTGTTCAACACTGTTTGGAGTTTCACGGCGAGTATGTGTTGAACTACCTTGGGGAGGTCAGTTGGGCCCATATCGCGTAGCTGTATGTTGTCCTTTGAATGTTGCACCGAGTTCTGGTGTTCCCACATATGAAATCCAAGCAAGATCTGCGACAGGCGAGAGACCCACAGGGTCGGAGAGCGTTGGCTCCCTCGTGACTGAAGGTACTGTTCCTGCAGGGCCGCCCACTGAACAGACAGCCGGCCTTCCAATAAACCTTGGTAGCTGATGCGTTGTTGGGAGAGGAAAGCGCAGCAAAGACAAACCGGGACCAACTGACTGCATGGTAGGGACGGATCACAAACCCCTTGAAGAAGATGGAGGATAGCGTGTTTGATGGCTGGGTCAGTGACTTGGGTGTCCAACCATTGGTCCAACATTGCCGTCTGGCGCTCCCATTTCGCACGCGCCAAGGGTGCCATACATCGAGGAACATGAAGGTGGTCCTCGAACTTGCCACAGCAGGGACACGCAGCTGAGTCTGCGGAACCCCGCCGGACTTTGAACTTCCCTACACCACACATACCCACGACATGCTTTGTGGTCCAACATTGGACACCTGCGGGAAGGGAGCTCCTGGCGTGAGCCAGACTGGTCCAATCGGTCTCCAGCTCTGCCTCTGGTGTAATCGTCTGCCGCTTGTGCCATTGCTTGTGTAGAGCAGGCAGCGCCACTAGTTCCTGGACTTGTTCTGGATTCACTCGCAACTGTTTGACGTCACTGATGTAGAGGGCAGCCAATTCAGTAAAGAAACGAGCGTTGGGTGCAATCAGTCAGTGTGAAGCTTTGAGCTGATGGCGATAAGCAACCGCCCATGCATCCACTTCCACATTCCGTTTGGACCACCAAGAGAGGCAGGAAAAGGATGTTGCCTGAACAAGGTGACCGTAAACGTGGCTAGGTTCCCACGAGGCCCTGGAGTGAGCCAGGCATTGTGTAATGACAGGAAAGAGTACTTGTGGATTCAAATTTAGGATCTGCCATACATTTGCACCGGCTGCTTATAATAGTAGGGCAAAAATTTGCGCCAGGATGGATTCAAGCCCATCCTATGGTAAATTTCCACGGAAACAACGTAGAAGCACACCTTCCTCAACCTTCCTCCAACCCAATGCTACTTTTAGTAGTACCAGGGCCATGTACATTTCAACTGAATCCAGCCTAGACCATCAATACAAAGATTTCACAGCGCACATATCTAAAACATTGAGCAATGGGAAACAAGGCAAGGAGCAAGAAGGCACCAAGCAAAGGGAAGGGCAATGGAAGCAAGAAGAAGATAGCTTCAACCACTGAAACACCAGCAAAGCCCCCACCAAGACAAACCCGTGAGTTTTTTTGAATTACTAGTATCAATGGTGCATGCAGGAAAACCGTGCATGGTATGACCAGACTCAATTACAAACCCTTGAATTTGATGTTCACCGGGGCGGATGCAGAGGGGAACTCTCATGCCCTTCTAGAGGGCCGCCTTCCAATGCTTGATGGGATCGATTCTTACACTCAGTCATTCCTGGAGCAGTGCCGTTTCCATCAAGGGCACTCTATGATCCTGATGAAAGTGTCGCCAGACGATTATAATTACTTCTGGTCTTGTAATCCAGAGAATAAGGGCTCAGAACCGCATGGGCTTCATAACAGTCATTTCAAGGCTGGGATCTATTCTCCTACAGTGGTCCAATGCGCCGCTTCAATATGGGGACATTGTTAAAGTGGGTTGCTTTGCCTTCATTCCGCCTGAGGTTAACTTCAAAGCCTATGCAAAAGAAATCATATGTCACTTTGACTTCTCTATCCCTATTGGAATCAAGATGGATTGGGTTTCTACACCTTACACAGGACGTGCTAAATTCAACAAACGTTCCCCCAGTGTAACAAGTCCTCATGGGTACGCTTGCAAGATTCATGCCAAAAGAGTGGACCGAGAATTAAGAAGCCTTCTTAATCCATCCACAGCAAAGCCAGACTTCCCCTTCGCTGCTCCGGCTACATTTGTTAGTGATTGGAAGTCTGCTCAACAGGGATTGATCAGTGTGAAGGCCTACGGTCCGGTCAAGGATGCTACCCTCACCCTTATTAGCAAACTACGTGATTACTACATCCTGACAGAGGTCCTGTATTTGGTCATGGATCTTCCTGGGATGTTCAAGTTCGCAACGACTACTATGTTTGGCTCATGCACCTTGTTTAAGCTTCTCTTGTCACCCCAGCTCAAGCCGACAAAGCTTCTCATGCCCACCAATCAACAACTGAGGCTGATGAGTCAGTCAACGACTCTTCTGACGACGATCCCAATGAATCCTCTGGCTATAAAGGCGGTCAATTCACAGAAGTTTGGTCTAAGAAGGCGGCAACAAAGGTGAAAAAGAAGGCAAAGAAGAAGAAGAAGTTGATCACTGATAATGAGAATCCGTTCCTTATGGATCTCTCCCCAGCCCAACAGAAAATGGCTGAAGTTGCTGACTGTAAGCTGAAGAATGATCAGGTGCGTCACAAGTCCGGTCCGTTGTTCTTGATAATTCTACCAGGCAAGATGGAGGGCACCTACATCCTGGTGTGTCGCAAGAAGTTTGGACAATTGGCTCGTAACGTCTTGAAGCGCTTGCTCCCTTTTCTGACTCATCACCTGTATGAGCCAACTCTGACAAAAACCGATCAAGCCCTCCGTAAATGGGTGCCGCAATCAGAGATCAGTATGGCTCAACGTAAGAACCTCAAATGGTGCACAAACACACTTTGTGCTGTGGAGGCTACCGCCTTGCCAGACGCGGTTGAGGAAGCACTGGAGTTTCTGGATGATGTGATGGAAGACGCAACGGATGTCTACAATGGTCAACTTTTGATTGATTTGGATATGGCTAACAACAAAGACATTGATGATGGGAAGACCGTGACAGGAATGATGGACAAGATGCAAGAACGGGAGCAACAACTGGAAGATGCCTTCAATGAGATTGAGGTTCGGGACAATGCACTGGAGGCTCAGGAACGCGCCTTGGCACAACAACGTGCGGACAATGCGGCACTGCAAGCACAGCTCGCTGCCCTCCAGAGTCAGGCCAGCCATCTACCTACCATGATGAGTCAGCCATCTCCCACTCTACCCCACAACAATTGCGTGTCTCCTGACCATCAAGCATTGACTCCACCGGTCAGATCTAGCAACTAAACCTTAGGCAAGTCATCCACAGGGCAGAGCACCATGGTTCCCAACACAGTGACACAACCAAAGAAGGCCACCAAGCAGGGCAAGCCACCAAAACAACCAGCCAAAAAGGCCCGCACAAGTGCAGCTGTCCAATTTCAGGAACCATCTTCTGCCCAACCCTCGGCGGCCTTGGCTGTTCAAGTAGACACGTCTCACATGGAAGGGGACAACACTACTGCCGCGTCTCAAGATGAGAGCCAAACCTAATCTCGTACTGCGTCTACTCCGCGAGGTGGAGGGTCTCCATTCTTCTCTCCTCCTCCTGGGAAGGCGCACAGTGATGGCGCGGGGCCATGAGAGGCCCACGATTGTCTGCAGCTAGGTCACGGCGTGCAGGCAGAAGACCCCATATTAGTGGCCCGTCAAGTGGAGTCTCCCATGCTTCACTTGACAAATATTTACGTTCTCTTCCAGCAGGGGATTGGTCTGGCGATGATCACCGCCGTCATTCCTCACTGGCTACTCAAATCTGTTTCCAGAATGTCAACGGATTACCAGAAAATGGCAATGACTCCAAGCAGCAACAGATCAACTCCTGGCTGAAGGAAGAACGAGTGGGAATTGCGTTGTTGGCAGAGGCCAAGAAGTTTTGGCCTTCTATCAATGAAGGTCATGGTTGGAGTGACAGACTCCGCCAAGCTACGATGAAGTCCAAGCAAAAAGGGTTTTACTTGTTGGTAGCTTACAATCGGCATCAGGACAGATCTGCTGCCACCTTGGCGGTACAATGGGGCGGGTGCATCACAGCCGTTTTTAACCAAGTGGCGCACAGGGCTAAGGAAGCTGACAGAGACCCCACGGGTTTAGGACGATGGGCCTATGTTCGTCTCCAAGGAAGGAAGTTGAAAGCCCATGGGGGTAATGTTCAGGACTCTTTCATTGAGGTAAATGACTTAGTTCGTGGTCCGATCTCCAAGGACTTGGTGGTGGTCTCTGCATATCGTCCCAACAAGCAAGGCCTCGGTAGATCTACAGTATGGGCACAACACAGGCTTCACTTTCATGCAGTGAATCGAAAAGTTAATCCAAGGAAAGCCTTTGTGGACGATCTTTGTAAACAGATCACCAAATGGCGTGATGAAGGATGTGAGGTGGTTTTGGGTATAGATGCCAACGAGGATGTCACTGTTAACGCACCCCAGTCTATCCGCCACCGCTTCCGGGCCTGCGGTCTTGAGGAGGCAATCCTAAAACACCATCCACCACAAGTGACCCACCAGCGCAACTAACGGAACATTCCGATTGATGGTATCTTCACCACTTTGGGCGTACCAATCCTTGCGGGTGGGTACTACGCCTTTGACAAATTCTTCAATTGCGATCATCGCGGCTTGTGGATTGACATTGATCTTTCCGCCTCCTTGGGCAATTTCTAACGTCAGAAATCCAACTTCAAGCCACGGAAGTTGTCCCTCTATGACTCTCGATCTGTACGCAAATATCTTCAATTGGTTCACAAAGGTTATGCCAAGTACTCCATCCCGGAGAGATTGAATAAGCTGAATAAGCGTATTGACCACCTGGGACACCAGATGACCCCTTCCTTGGTGCGCAAATACAACTGTTTACACAGACAAATGTATACTATGAGGCGCCAGGCGGAAGAGAGATGCCGGGCCTTAGCTCCAGGTAAAGTTCCCTGGTCACCAAAATGCAGGGATTCTGGGATTGTATGAGCCTGTGGAAGCTTCTGTTGAAAGGCAAGAAGGGTTGCCGTGTGAGTTCGCGCAAAGTTTGCCGGTTGATGAAGAAGACAGCGTTGCCACAAGCTTGGAGGAAGTCAGCGGTTGATCTGGAGGACTGCCTGAAGCAAGAGCGCTCCTTGTACAAGCAGGCCAAGCACACCTACGCAGCTCAATGGAGGAAAGACTTCTTGACAGTCCAAACCAAGGATGCAAAAAAGCATCAGTGGAAGTCTCGGAAGGCCCGTGATAGATTCTTTTGGTTACAACGAATGAAGCAAAGAGAGGAGGCAAGACGCCGTCGTCGCGCCCAGAGCAAAGGATCTCCAGGGGCCTTCAGGCTATTCAAATTGAAGAACACTTACCAGATGGTACTACAAGTCTCCGGACCATCATTGACCGCCGCCTTGTAGAAGATGGGTGCATGCAAGAAAACATGGCACGCTATGATCAAACATGAGCGCCGTATACCACTCCACCTATGGCCAAACCGTTATATAGCAAATTTACTGGTGACAACGCTGAAATAAATTCTCTGTCATTGTTAGAAGGCCGTTACACATTACCTGATCTGTTGGACCCAGCTACAGCTTCTTTCTTATCTCACTGCCGGTTTCACAAAGGCCACTCTCCAGTCCACTTGCACATGTACTTCTGGTCACGGAACCCTGAGAATAAAGGATCCGAACCTCATGGACTACATAATGGACACTTTAAGGCGGCTATCCAGTCTCCATCTATAGCGTACTGTGATGCCCTCTTCCGGAACATTCCTCTCACCACAGGGTTTGTTCCTCTTCAATGGCAAAACCTGATGAACTTTGCCATTGAAAAGAAGCCAGGAGACTTCCGCCTATCTAAAATGCGCACCATCCAGCTGATGAATTCCGAGGCCCAGGCAAACAATAAGAAGGCAGGCCGTGCAGCCATGCAATTTGCCAAAGCGCACTCCTTGATACCCGACGGGCAATGCGGCTCACGCAAACGTCATCAAGCAATTGACCTGGCCTTGTCTAAACAATTAGTGTGGGATCTACTGATCCTTCAACGCCGCGCAGCGGGGTGGATCTCGAATGATGCCAAGTCCTGCTTTGACCGTGTTGTCCACTGGGTGGCCATCGTCACAATGTTGCTGTTTGGCTTGACATGGCATGTCCTATCATCAATGTTCAACATGCTCTCCTCCGCTACCCGCCGTGTTTGCACAGGTTTTGGTGACTCCAAGAGAAGCTTTCGCCCTCCGTCAGCGGTGCCATTCCAAGGTTGTTGGCAAGGGAATGGTGCCAGACCCCCCATTTGCATCTCGGTGAGCTCAGTGTTAATCACAATGATGGAAGCAATGGGCTATGGATTTGAGGGTCTTTCGGCGTTAGAGTCACAACTAGTGACAGCCCAATGTTTCTGTTTTGTTGACAATACGGACGTGATTGAAGCAGGTGACACAGTCCATCACTCTGGGGAGGATATTTGCGCCTCAGTCCAGGCTGCTGCCACCTTGTGGTCGGGGGGAATTCGGGCAACAGGTGGTGCAATCAATCCGGAGAAGTCCTTCTGGTGGCTTATTGACTTTGAATGGGATGCTCGCAATGGTCAGTGGAGATTCTGTAGGAAATGCTCCGCGGCACCGGAATTCGACCTTAAGATACCGGGGTTATACGGTGACATTGAACCCCTTCGTCGCCTTGAACCAGATGATTCCGAACGTACTCTGGGGGTGATGTTGTCGCCACTGGAAAATCACAACGCACAGGAGGCACAGTTGGTCTCTAAAGCTAAAGCGTGGGCCAAACAGCTTTGGCCTCACCTGCTACACAAGTACGACGTGTTACCCTTAATCCGGACCACAATCCTGAAGAAGCTTGAATATCCTATGGCACTCACTACCCTCAACGCTCAACAATGGCAGGACATTATGTCACCGGTTCTCCAGGTGTGCTTACTTAAGTCAGGTGTTTGCCGCAACTTTCCCCGTTCTGTGGTCTTTGCCCTGGTGGATTATCAAGGCCTTGGTGTTCCTCACCCCTTTGGCAAGCAAGTTTACAAACACTTGGAGATGATCCTGCGCCATATGTCGGGGGGCACAAAGACTGGAGCCTACATGGACGCCAATCTCCAGGCTCACCAGCTGGAAACCGGTACCTCCTTTGGTCTTCTACATCTGGAATGGTTTCCGCGACGACACTTATTGGACTCCACATAACTGGCCTCAAACGGTACGACCCGGGCGTCCATATTGGGAAATCTGGCAGAGAACACTGTCCCGCGCGCTCTTGCCTTCACATGGTCAGCACCACCCTCTGCTCCAACCCCTGGGACATTGGCACGACCACTTCGAGTCTTGGAACTGGCTCTGGTCGCCGACTGTTGGGTTGTTTCATCGGGAGGGGGCTGCATGGGCCCATCTTGCTCTTGTAGGTTCCTCTACAACTTCTCGGCGCTATGCTCCATCTGGCAGTCACAGTGGGACGGATAGCCTACAACGACCAAGTTCTTGGTGGACTTGCCCTTTGCCTTCTGACGTCCTGCGTGCCACAGTGAGGCCCCTCTCCGGTAGCGACTGGGTGCTCCTCACTGGTACAGGTCTCCCAACCTTGCCTCCCTCTGACCCTACCCCCTCCATCCTCAACGCCTGGCAAACCTCTGCCGACCTCTGCACAGACTACTATGGGTGGGTCCCTGATGAGATTGAGGTACATGGTGATGAGGCTGCCTTGGCCGATGCCCTGATCCAGGGCCGCCTCAGAATCATCAGCGATGGGTCATACAAAAATGACCTGGCAACTGCTGCTGTTCAGCTCCTTCCCAAAGGGGGAACTGCTTGCATTGTCATCCGTTGTCAAACTCCAGGCCTACCTCAGGATCAGAGTGCCTATCGTAGCGAGTTGATTGGCCTTCTGGCTGGGATTATGGCGGTCGACTGGCTCCTCCAACAATGGTTCCCAGCCCTTAGCCAGCGGCCGGGTGTCAAGATCGCCTGCGACGGCCTTTCGGCCATTGAAATGGCCTTTGAAGATCGACCCCTTTCACCCACTGATGCACAATTTGACCTGATCTCTTCCATCCGGGAAGCTATATCTCGGTCTCCGGTGTCTTGGTCTCCACGGCATGTCTATGGACATCTGCACAAGTCCAACTTATTTGATGAACTCACTTGGTGGGAAAAGAAAAACCTGGAGGTAGATGGCATGGCAGTGGATTTCCGCAAGGAACTAGAGGCCGCCCACCAACTTATCCCCCCAATCCTCGGTTCTTCACGGAACTGGCAGCTCTTTTTGTGGCTGACACAAAGCAGTCTTGGCTGAGTGACCACTTCATTCAGGAGTGCGTGACACTCCCCGCCTGCGGCAACACTGGAGGAACCGTAATGTGATCTCTGAGGAGTCTGAAAACCTTATTGACTGGGAGACACTGGGTCGCGCTATGCGGTCACTACCTGCCGGACTCCAGCGCTGGATTACAAAACATTGGGTGGGAATGTGCGGCACAGGGAAGTTCAAAGTGTATTGGGGCCTTGAATCGTCCGCTGCGTGCCCTCGGTGCGGTGAGTTTGAAGATCACTTGCATGTTCCCCGTTGCCCAGCAGCCTCGGCTAGGGACGAATGGGACCGGAGGGTGACCGCGCTCTCGCTCTGGATGGATATACATCTTACCTCCCCCGCCATCAAACATGCGATACTCCTTCTGCTTCAGGGTGTTTGCGACTCATCACGTCCCCCCTCTTGTTTGATCTCTCGGACCATTCGCCGGGCCTTTCTGGCACAGGAAGCTATTGGGTGTCAGGGACTTTTGGAAGGCAGACTAGCCTCCTTGTGGCTGTCTCTGCAACAAAACTATTTTGACGAGATTCACAGTCGTCAGTCGGTTTCTTGGTGGGTTTCCCGTCTCTCCCAGCAACTCATCTCCATTGGTTCTAGCCGTTCAACATTCAGATGACAATGTTCAGCTCTGTGAACGTCACTGTGTTGTCAACGAGGGGATTCACTCTCAGTTTGATATGGGTTCAGCTGATTTACCTCCGGATATTAGACGCATGCTGATATGCCGTCACAGCGTCCTCCGTAAGTCACTGGTGGACAAGGAAGAATGGCTGAAGCTACTTTGACAGGAGCGCAAGGACTATTGTCGCTCTCTGCGGGCTCAACGCCGTAGCCTCCGGACTATCTTCTCTGCTCCCCCCTCCTGAACGCTTCCCAACGTTTGTGGGACAATAAGCGCCCCGAATTCACCCCGCCTTGCTGCGGGAAAAGTCATTCTTAACAACATGACTTGAGCAACTTCTGTTTAGGTACAGATGCCTCCCATGGTTCAAACTTGTTGTTGACTCACCGCTCCACAGTACTTGACCTTTACAGCCGAATATTTCACCGGCAATTGAATACCCATAGAGTAGCATCCTAACGATTAATGTCTCAGTTATTATTATACAACAGTGGCCCAATGTGACGCTTTCTTCCGCCACATACCCTTGATAACTGGGTTCGTCCCTGACAACTGGCGGCATCTGATGAGTTTTGCCATTGAAAAGTAGCCAGGAGACTTTCGGCTGACAAAAATGCGTACGATTCAACTCATGAATTCTGAATCCCAAGCGAACTACAAGAAATTGGGCCGTCTGGATCATCATCTGTTGGCCAATGGACAGTGCGGGTCTCGAAAGCACCATCAAGCAATTGATCTTGCCCTGTCTAAACGCCTGGTGTGGGACCTGCTGATTCTCCAGCGTCGCTCCGCGGTGTGGATTTAAAATGACGCAAAGTCTTCTTTTGATTGGGTCGTTTATTGGGTTGTGGTGATAGCTATGATGCGTCTGGCGATTACTTGGAATGCGTTGCGTATGATGTTTGACACTCTAGCAACGTCCACGCACCAAGTGCGGACGGGCTTTGGTGACTCTGAAGAGAGCTTTCATCCCCTTCCGTTGTACCATTTCAGGGTTACGGTCAGGGCAACGGAGCGGGTTAGCTCCATCGTCATCCAGATGATGACTGCAATGGGCTTTGGCGTTGAATGCCTCACAGCAATTGATTTTCAACTGATCACCACTCAGTGCTTTTGCTTTGTTGACGACACAGATGTGATAAAAGCGGGCAAGTCTGTGGAATAATCTGGCAAGGATATATGCCACTCCGTCCAACAAGCGGCTTCCACGTGGGCTGGGAGCATTAGTGCTACAGGAGGGGCAATTAACTACAACTGATTGTAGGGCTGCTTTCTTTGCATTGAAGGCATTTTATGAAGGTGAAGGCATTTTTGCTCATGACGTTATGACGGCTGAGAACATCATTGCAACACTTTTCTATGCAGGAAAAAAACGTCCTGCTATGTACTAAACAGAAATTTGAACAAATATTGAACAATGCTTATGCAAACATACATCACAAATATGGAAGCGTAATGTATACTGACGTTGTGAAGCTACAATCTCTCCAACAAAGAATCAAAGCTGACTTCTTATCACAGACAAAGGCGGTAACTGAAGTTAACATGCATGCTATTCCCATGACCATGTTGTATGATCAAGTCATGAGAATGTACTGTTCCAAGGTGTCTGAAAAGTTCCCTCCAGCTTCTGTACATCGGAAAAGAAAATCAGCTAATATTTAAGGGACCATGCCCCAAAATCAGCAGGGCGTGTCTTTTTTGGGCTTGGATTGCCTCCCCTAGAATTGATGAAGGTGATATTTTCAGAGAGCCCATGTGATTATGAAGCATTCTGTGATTTGTCACTTTGTTTGTCACTTCCAACCTCTGACATTCAACTTAACCATGTCCTACTTTCAGAGAACCCTTCTTATTAGGAACCTTCCCCTTTGTTTGTCGTTGTGTTTGTCACTTGTGACCTTTAAAACCCAAATTTACCATGCCATATTTTATCACCTCCTGATGATAAGCCATTGGTGTATGCTTTCTATTGCAACCTACTGCCACTAAATTCAATAATATTGTTGATTTTCAGTATCCTGTAATGTCTTTATGGGCAGCCTCAGCCCCTACAAATGTTTGTCTGACACTCAAATGCTTGGGCTGCACCAGTGGGACCATCATCTCCAGTTATCTAATAACCATATAAAACAGTCTCAGAGCAAGAAAATCCGAAGGACTGGAATCGATTTCCTAGCTTTCTTTGAGCAGCTTCAGTGGCCGCTATGATAGCAAACACCCACTTAACAATACACAAACCACTTCTTTGGATCCTGATGGATAAAGCTCTACATGAGTTGCCTGTAGATTCTATTTAGATCTAGATCTAGATCCAGAAATTAGGTGACAGCTGTTGGGATATGACGAAATATGAGTTTTTACGTTCCAAAATGAAACTATTCAAGTACGAGGTTTTCGACACGTGCGATCGGAATTTGATCGTGCAAGATGTTGGGATTCGACGCAAGTATGCCGGACGCAAGTCTGTCGGACAATCTGTATCCACACAAACAGGAAAAGATCCTGTACAAGTGGAATATTGATGTTGTGTACAATGCAGTAGGGAATAATGCAAGATATCCCAAAGTACTGCATTCAACACAGAATTCTCGTTTCCAAGGGAAAATCGTTGAACTCACTTTTGTGATTGAATCATCAATTCAAGCCAAACATTAATCAAATAGGAACAATTTCACTCAAAGTATACCTAGACACAGGAGAACTATTGTCGTGAAAGTGTTGTACAATCGATTACGAATTATGTGCTTGAATCATCAATTCAAGCCAAACATTAATCAAATAGGAACAATTTCACTCAAAGTATACCTAGACACAGGAGAACTATTGTCGTGAAAGTGTTGTACAATCGATTACAAATTTAGATTGCAGAGAGTTTGTTCTGAGCGCTAAAGGCACTCACGATGGAGCACATTTTGCTTTATTCTAAAAGGAAACGGTTAAATGATGAACATACATTGTTGAGCTAGAATTTGATAACCCCGTGCTGCAGGGGTGCAAAAATTATTCCCGTGTCCTATCCGAAATGGGTTTCACACCAATCCGAGGGGTATCCCAGTGACCAGTGTGTCACAACTTCGAATTTTTTGTTGCTACAGTAGGTATTCCAACGTAGACCGCAGGCACACTGTTCGATCTCTTTGACTACATTGTGTTACAGCGGGACAAAGGCGGAACGGCCTTCGACCGTCAAAAGTTGTTGTCGATGCGCCAAGGCAATGATGCCTAGTTTATTGACTGATATTGAATTCACCCACTTGTGTTGTGGTAATTCAATTTTTCTTACTCGATCAGTTCGACCCGCTTCACACAACAACCCACCAGCTACACACCAAGACAAAAATACTACGAACACACACACGGAGGACGGCAGTAGGCTATTTTACCGGGTGGTTTCTCGGTACTACACAATTTGTCAAATCTGCGGTCAAACTTGTTTGGTCCGTCCTTCACACGAATTCTGGTAGTCTACGAAAGCTCTGCTGAAGTCCTCTAGCGACAAGTTAGGTATCTTGGCAGGCGCACAAAGGATAGTGCTACCTCCAAAGGCTCTGAGAAGTTCCTGTTGTTATGGCGGTTCGCACATCATCATCTTTCACAAAACCTCTCTATAGATAGTCAAAAAGTTCAGACTACAGCATCTCGTCCTTCCCGTGCTGTTGAGAGAACGAAAACAACGCAACCAAATGATCATGGCTGTGCTTGGGCATTGCCGCTTTGAATATAAAAATTGCAAGTACAAGGTTCCAACATTGTGGAATTGCGACATTCAAATTTGTTCCGAGAGTTGAGAATGCGGTCTACGAGTTTGCCCCCCGTCTACTTCTTCTTCGTCTTTGCGAGTCTACCTTCTTCGACTCATCCTTCTTCACGAGAGCTGTCGTGGAACCCTTTCTAGAATGAGGATCACTTGTTTTTTCACTGTCAATATCTTTTGGTAGCACCAATTCACTGTTCCCATCAGAATAGTCTTCGTTCATCTTTGCTGCCACATTACTCTGGGCGTTTTTGAGCTCTACAGTTTTTGACCTTCTAGCAGGTGGAATTTTATGACCGTGCTCGTCTGTATCGTTTCGTTTCCTTTTCGTGTCAATTGACTCCACGTTTACTTTGGTAGTTCGCGATGGATTACTATTCACATCATTCAAATGAATGGTATTTTGCGAATGCTTGCGATCAGAGGAATTCAAATCGCCATCGGAGGCATCTATCATAGGCTTCTTGGCACTTGCTGTATGCACGATATCAAGGCTTCGCTTGTGCATTTCCTCCTTCGACACACTACTTTCAGAGAACCACCGTACATCGCCAGGTACTTTTCGAATACTTTGATGCAAACCTCGCGTGAGTCCACTGTCACCACTGACTACATCCTTCGTATCTACAAACCCTTCCAAGCCTCCTTTGCATATGTTTCTGTGAGGCATGGTGTCCTCATAGTCTATTCAACAAAGAACTCACAGTCAGCGCGGTACGCAGGTATACTTCCAACAGTAACTAACGGGTACGTACACAGCTCTTCTCCTCGATATATCTGTTTCTGTAAATTCGATACCGCAGCTGCCGTTTTGCGAAGACGATTTTCAATTTCTCCAATGGAAAAAAGTCTATCTGCTTGACTACCACAACTCGCTTTCAATGATTGCGAGTTAGTATCTCCTGCGATGCTGGAAGCTGATGATACATCTGCACCTTGATTTCGCTTCCTCCATTTCTTCAATAGGAACAAAGGTAATTTTTCACCCGATGGTCTGTGCCTATAGTCCATTTTCTAACCCTGATGTTGTCTTCCAAGCTGTCTACAAGTGGAAGAAGTCGAACATTAGCTTGAGTCGCACCATCATTGTATCTGGTATAAAGTTGAAAGTACTTACATAGATGCTGGTGTCAGTGGTGACTGTAGTGACCAGCTGAAACATATCGTCCGATATACGGTAACGTCTGTACGTCCCATCACCATGTAAACATAGATAGAAGCACAGGATATCGTTTGATGCTTCATAGCACAATTTTTTAAATATCATGGCATATTTCACTCCAAGAACACATCAAGGACACGCAAAGAGAGAAAAGAGGGAATGCCCCAGCCAGCTGGGGGGCATGCATTCTCTGGAGGAAACACGATGTGTCAGCTACTGTGAATCGTGGTGATTGGACCATGGGGCATATCTTCGACGCCCAGCACTGCCTAGTACTAGGCTAGCTAGTACTACTCTATAGTAGTAGTACTTCAAGAAGAAGTGTTACCTTCCCAAAAGAGGTGATCAGTCTTGCAAGGGGGTCTACATCGTGCATCCTCTAACTCTTGCCCCGACAATGAGACGAAATTGAAAATACTCCAACCATTTTGGTCAAGGAGGAGATGAAGTAACAATTCCCTGTCATATCTTGGGGGGAAGACCTTAAAAAGTTTAGTAGAAATGATTGTTATATTTTTCTATACTTCGTTGTTTGGATGTGAGGTACTAGTGCATGTGCCCTTCTCAATTAATTGACACGTAGTATTCCAATAGATACCAAAATGGCCGCCGACCCGATACTTAGGAGAGAATATGTCTGGTTGATTCTAGGGGAAGAAGTGCCAAGAAAAAAAACATACAAATAAACGATTCACAGTCAACTAATATCTTATATTATACTGGGGTGTTATATTATACTATGGAGACCTTCGGCTATGAAGTCATGCGTTCTAGGAGCGAAACTTGAACAACGGTATCGCCACTCCACCACATCCCTGCTTTTCGTCGTGACAGAAGCCGCCACTAGTGTTCTGGGCTCAATCCAATTTTGGATTTAAACCAGAAGTTTTTTGTATCTCTGCTGGACCCAATGGTTCGCTGCAAAAGGCAAGGTTGCAAACAGACTGTCATCGGTTTGACAACGATATCGGCCATCTGGCAGTGATCTTCTCAGCAGAGAACACAGACATCCAAGCAAAACAACGACCGGTATCAAATCAAAGCATCGATAGCCTCATGGACCAGCCATCACAGAACAGTGTTGATTGTTGAGTCAGGGGATGAAGAAGTGTTGTCGAAACTGGAGATGAAGAAGGAATGCCATACAGCATGTTCTTCGCAAAAGAGAGCCAAAATAATGCTCCTGACGGTCCTTTGTCGTCATCATGGACATGGTAATATCAACAAGAACTCAACAGACGCCAACACAAAGAGGATCAAGTAGCAAGTTATCGTGTCCCCAATAATGTGGTGGACACTCAAAGCATCGATAGCCTTATGGACCAGCCATCATAGAACAGTGTTGATTGTTGAGTCAGGGGATGAAGAAGTGTTGTCGAAACTGGAGATGAAGAAGGAATGCCATACAGCATGTTCTGCACAAAAGAGAGCCAAAATAATGCTCCTGACGGTCCTTTGTCTTCATCATGGCCATGATAATATCAACAAGAACTCAACAGACGCCAACACAAAGAGGATCAAGTAGCAAGTTATCGTGTCCCCAATAATGTGGTGGAAATCAAAGCCCATTTTCGTCCACGGCTGATTGATATGTTTGGCAACAAAACAAGAGGATTTCAACCTTGCACAACGCCAGCAAAAGTGGGCAAATGTGCATGTGCTGAATGCGAAGCCGAGTCTTGTGCAAAAGAAGGACCTGGAGCGCACCGTTGCAAGTTTTGTTGCAAGTTTTGTGGTATCCCCGTCCATGCAGCGTGTTCCGTTGATAGATGATGGGTTGACAAAAGCGATGCCACCAACCCTTGCCTGGTACAGGTTTTGCAGTGAGCCATTATTGAGAAAATCCACAGCGAGGCCAGAGGTATTACATTTACATAAATATCTTGGTTTCTCGTGTCTCGTTTCGTTTCATTTGTTCGTTCCATCGATATTGATGTTTGATGTTTTCGTACATATTTGAATATATACCGTGCGGTATCTGAAATTAGACCAGTATTCTGGTCTACGTTCAAATTAGTACAATTTCTACGTAACAAAATGAGTCCCAACTTGAATTCGCTCGTGTATTCGTAACCCGGAGTGCCGATATACTTTTCCGCAATACCATGTGGGAACTAAAATTTCACTAGTAATCGTATGGTAGATGATTTCCAGGTATTGCGGAAAAGTATATGATTTTGATATACGTTTCGTGCGGAAATGCGCGGTAATGATATATCCTTCAGTAAGTCTGCTGGGACATTTGGATTATTTTGAGAATTTTTTTGATCTGGAACACCCGGCAGAACGAGGATTTTTGTCATTGTTGGAAAACAGAAAGACCCTCATAAGTCATTTGTGATCGCGTGGAGGAAAAAGAGCAACTCATACTTAACAAACAAGAAACAAAATGGAAT